CATATCGTCGCATAATTAATCAAGAGAATTGTAAAGGAATATTTGATTATATTTTTATACAAGTTACACATACATTTTCATGAGTTGAATAACACAGTCAAATACTCCTAAGCAATATTTACTCAGGAGCTAAAACTATTGTAGTGAATGGATTTTTTAAGCCTTTTCCATCATACCAGCAATCATCTATAATTGCCGTACTCTATTAAACATAACAGACTAATCTAGATCATACACTACTTACTTCATATTGCTGTAGAACTATCAACGCGCATTATTTGAGTAGTTGCAGAAATATTTACAATCACATGGATAGACTACTTAACAACACAGCTTTATAGGGATTATAAGCTGCAATCTTTTACGTATACTGAAAGAATAATACAAGTACACTATTTTGTCATGCCAGGTTTCATCTAAAGTTGCTTTATTAAGCAGAACTGCTATTTCACGCCAGGTAGTGCTTTACGTCACATTATCATGACAATTTTAAAACGAAACTTGCGAACGAACTTGAATTTTGCTGAAAGTACTTCATAATTAAAAATCAGCCAATGATTCCTCTTCATATTATTGATTATCCGTAAGCAAAATTAATATCTTGATTCATTTTGCTTAAATTTCAGTTTCATTTGCTAAACATATCTTCATGTAATTAATTATGTAAGCACAAAATAAAGTAAACTTGTTACGGTACTAAGGCTATTCGATGCTGCTTTTATGACATCCGTGACTTAGAGATAATTAAGTCGGATTACTTATAGTTGCCTTGCTCAAGCGCCGGTTCATTGGCTGAATAACATTTAAAACAACTAATCATTAATGGCATACTGTAGGATTTGTACATCTTATAATGAAGTAAGGAGTAGAATCTATTCATACTATAGCATCGCATCTTTGATTTATGAATTAGGCCAGATTAGTAAGTTTTGGGTTCATATTAATGAGCTTGCAGAATCAAAAATTATTGACCCCAATGTTTAATTCCCTCCTTAAAATAAAGAGGTTAACGTTATAATACATTTTGTGGTACTGCATAGGCCAAAAATAGTCGAGTAATAAAACTTCTACTACCAAACCTAATGCAACGATGTAAATTTTAGCGCTTTTCAGTAAAATATTCGAATGTAAGGAAAAAAATAAGAAACCAATGCATGTTTCAAAAGTTTCGCCTTCATCTAACAAATTATAGCACGTTACCGATCGACTTCATTTCTTTCCCAATTTACCATTGCATTCGCACACGCAAGCAGCACGATATAGTAAATGGTATATAAGGCAAATCCATTCTTAATTTGATGTAAAATCTTTGCGCTTAATTAAACTATTACAGTATTGCGCTACGCTTAGTTTTGAATTATAATAGAGTAATATTGACAAGAAAATGTACTTGTAACGATACAATTTTCAAATTATGTGTCTTAGCCATGTATTAGGTATACATATCCGTAAGGCCTCCTGGAAATTATCTCTAATCTCACAAATATCACAATGATTTACGCAACTTAAATCAAATCTTAAACACAAGATTTGAGAAATACTTTCGGTTTCTAATCAGTGTTTTTACATTTATATTAACTCCCGTCGTTAGTACAGGATATTTGTTCCTGCAGACCTGGGATGTATGTATATTGAAGTTTAATCATATTGTAACAATGCTTAAAACTATATCTTTCAAGACTCTTCTGAATCTAGTATAGTTCCGTTAATTAAGCGTTATTAATATGTAATATAATTAATTTCCTCTTCAATATTCCGAGACCGGCTTTTCTATCCATTTAAATTACTTAAAATATTAGACACAAATGATACGATCCAATAATCTAAACTCGATGGTAATAGATAACTAATGGGCTATTACATGTTGCCACAGCGATAATTATTTCAGCTGTGGTATTTCAACTGCATTTGTGCAAATTATTAAATAGTCTAAACATTGTTAAACTAGTAAACTTATATTTTTACCAAAACATAAACATTGACATTTTAATTAATTTTCTAGCTTAGTCAGTTGTCATCTTCATGACTATAGGTATAGAGAGCTTCAATAAAATAGTGTTCCACTGTAAGCCCTTATTATCTGTATTAAGCTCATTGAGAAATAAATATTCTAATCTATCATTCATGGGCGTTAGCATCGTAATCAATACACATAAAAGTGAGTCTGCAAGTAAATAAATCGAATAGAATTCACGTTAGGCTGAATATAAATGATTCACGCTCTCCTAACATCCGTTGATATACGTACAATAACACCGATAGGAAACCGAATAAATATTAGCGAACCATGCAGGTAGAATAAATTGCTGTTTTGTGTCAATTTCTACTCTTAAATAGGTTATTCATCAAAATTTATATATTTACTGACTAATTAAACAGATCTAAGTAAAGTAACTCCATATCTTAGAATTAGTAATTTCGTCATCATTTCCTGATCTCTGTATATAGCAATTACTAATATTGAGCGCACTATCTAAATTACTCACTAAGAAATTAAGAATAGATAAAAGTAACATATTCCCATAAAATGATTTAGTATGCGTATTAAAAAGTTTAATTTTTTCTTGGAATTACTTATCCCCATAATTTATATATTGCGTAAAGTCATATAAAGGAGTAGATGTTCATTAATAAATACAAAATGGCATATTAAATTATCTGGAGATAATCTGAAGTCCCTACGGCAAGCCTACATGTGCTTAACTTGCATTAAGATCGTGGATAAAATTTCATCAGCAATTTCCTAAGAAACCATTAATTCGTAATCGAGTTTTTAATTTAACCTCTATCTTTCTAATAATTTACTAGCATCATGCTTTTCATATTGGAAAGGTGCATGATACATATAGTTCGCTTTCGGTTGCAAGCCTACTGCCTGAAGATCTAAGAAATATTTTATTTCCGCCAACATCAATGTTAACGTTTCCCAAATTAAAATTTTTACTTGGCATAAATTTATAATTGTCTTGATAGGCTTTCACAGACATGAATGAAACTTCAGCCTTTATTTCTGCAGACCTTAAAGATTTATCAATATTTAACAGGTTGAAATTTGTTTACCCGTATTTACTGTAGCTTTTATTGCTCATAACAAACTTATTATCCAAGATCAATTTCCGTCTACAAATAAAATGGAACAGTTTAAATCTGTTCTACTGATGGAGGATAAATTCAAGAAGCAATCTTTGGTAAAATTTCCATATTAACCCAGCAACTTGGTCATATGCCTAACTCTTATTCATTGTTCAGCCTGATTATTCGAAATAATACTGTGAAAAGCGACCATTCTATATCATAATAGATTCTAATATAATTGCTTGAATCAATTATAAATAGCTCCTATCTGAAGCACGTGGCTAAGTTGCCTTGACTGTAAATATCTATTTAATCATTTATGCACCTGTTACGAAATTGAGTTTTGTATTATAATATGTGGATAAATTTGATGATGTTTACCGTAGGTAAGAATGCATAAAATTCAGTGATATCCCGCTAGATCATGAATTACTACAAATAGTGAATAATAAACTATGGTTTGTAGCAAATAAGTAAATAACGATATTACCCCATTGTGATAAAGTGATCTTCAAAACAATAAATCAAGAACTACAGTTTCTTGCAAATTTCACTTTATTACAGAAGTTAGGTTCGTCTAACTACCAAGGACTATCTGACTATCTGACAATCTACCTATTACAGCAAAATTCACGATTTATATACGATTAGTTACACCCATATATAAGATTGTTTTTAATAGCTAAAGTTACATAAATTTAATACTATTGCTTGCAAGATCTGAAAGCGGTTGTAGAAAATTCGTGACCTATGTAAGATCGTTGTTTAATATGAGTTTATTCTTTCTCAAGCTTCATATTCGGCTGTCAAATACAGTTGTGGCATTCTTTTTATTTAAAGTATACATGAATAAGGTAGATTTTTTTTCAAAAGTGAAGGTCATTACAAGCATAATGCAATACGTAGTAATCTAGTAATGCCCTACAGTCTATTGTAATTTACAATAGTATGGTTTAAGAAGACAGTATAGGATAATTAATTATTACTGAATATGAGTTATCTAGATCTTGGCTTACTCTCTCGATTGAATGTATGACAAAACCATTATAAGGATAGTCTTAGTTATTTTATACTATTCTCATGATTTAAGACGTCATATACGAGTATATTGAAGTGAATTAAACCTATTTTTAGTTTTGGTAAGATTTTGGACATAATTTTCAAAAGACATTAATATTACTCTCTACCACCAGGCAACCATCTCATTTCTAGTAGTAATATTAAAATTGCAAATTCATACCTTTAAATACCATATATTTAAATTTTTATAGAATTTGTCGTACATGGAGAAACAAATTCAATTTAGGCTATAGACTGTCTAATGATAGGTAGTCCAACTTCAAAATTTTCTTCTATAAGTGTTTTGTCAGTATATCTTTAACAATTTAATGTTCAAATGCATTATTCACCAGGTATAATTCAGATAGAATAGTTTCTATTTAAGTTAGTAATTACAGTAAGAAAAATAAATAATAAATGATTATAATTACTAGTAATTGACGTCTTTACAAGTATAATGCTTACATTTTGATGTTATGACTATTACCATCCTAAATTAAGTGTGTTATGCTAGATTGAAACTATAGATTCAGTTTACAGAACTATAAAAATAGGATAATTACAGCCTGGCCTATTATAGAAAAGGATAAGAAATGTTACTATTTTAGTACTTGCTGATTATTCATATAAAATAATATCCAAGCATGCATGATTTGTACTTGATAGACAGGATATATTTGTTGCAATAAATCTATAAAAATTTCGAACTCGGGGTTGATTGCGCCGATATGTCCTAAATGAGTTCTAATAGACACAATAAAAAGAATTAAAGTTCGATTTGCAAAAATGTAAAATGTGTCAACCTTTGCTCTTCCAATATGGTAATGATGCTGAGCTGTCCCATTGTGAGCTTATTAAGTATTTATAACAGCTGTTACAATAAACTTTACAAATAATTTGTACCGTTTACGGTTGAGTTCTCTTATAAATAAATGACATTTGTTCTAATTTATAAATTCTAATATAACAATTTAACGTATGTGTTAAATAGCGTTACAGATTATTAACAACTATAAAATTACTTTTTGAAGTCCTCAGATCTTATATTTTTTAACAACCATCATGGCAACTCACCTACAGACAATCGTGACCGTCAATGCTACCATGACTCCTATTACAGTAAAATCTGAAAACGCAGATGCAGCCTTACCTAAAGTAGTTTTTGCCATATTCGCATCATTATCAGTCTTTGGCAATACATTGGTTTGCTGGGTATTTTTAAAAAATAGTCAATTATTACGCCTTGGATCAACTATCTTTATCTTTAGCTTAGCCATTGTAGATATCTTGACCGGAATATTAATTCTTGGCACACCGACTTATAACGGTATCCAAATACACATGGAGGGTACCTCTGCAGCACTTTATTGCTCTCTCGTCCATTCTGAATATTTTATCTGGACTTTTGGTATTGCATCTTGTTATATTATTGCTGCTTTAAGTGTTGAACGATTGTGCATGGTCAGTGCTGCAGTCAAGTACAAACGTATTTTTACTCCGAATAAAACGATCATCTACATTATCTTGATTAATATTTGGGCTGCTATCTTAAATGCGCCAAATCTCTATCAATATTATTATAATTCAAATGCAACCAACCTAGAAGAACAATGTGGATTCCGAGCTTTATCTGATGTTGAAGCTGTTAATAGTGCAATTTACTTCACTAGTTTTGTTATACGTTTTGCCCTTCCCCTAGTTGTCATGATTTTTTGTTACACTGCATTCATGCGCAAAATAAGAACTACAATAACTGGTGTATCTAATGCTACTGATATTCATACTAATAAACGCAATCGTTTAATGCTTCGACGATTAACGCGAATGTCTGTTGTAATTTCTATTGCATTCTGTATTTGTTGGTTACCTAATCAAATATATTTCGCTTTAATTGCTCAACATTTAATTACTTATGACATAACTATCCATATGTTCACGAAAACCCTCGTATCCATGAACTCTGCCATTAATCCAGTAATCTATGCTGCCACAAATGTCTATTTCTACAACGAACTAGCAGCTCTCATAAAGTACATTTTCTGTTGCAAGCGTCCACAGCGACAAAAATTATTTGTATCGGTTTAATAGAAAAGAGCCTTGAATGTAACTGTCAACTTTACAGTGCAAAGGTGTTTAATTAAACAGATTTTTTTTATTTTACATTCTGTTACAACCTAAATATATGCCGGTATTACTCGTAAATGATGCTATCAGCTCTGCCGCCGTAGTTATGGCAATAAGCATATAGTTCAACTGGCATTTAAAAAGAATTTTATTATTTTGCATTCTGTTTTAAGCTAAATATATACCGTTATAACTCATAAATGATGTTAGCAGGTCTACCATTATAGTTACGTCTATAAGTATATAGCACAACTATTCATCCTATTTTATAGAAGACCATTACTTAATACTAGAATTTATTATGGAAGCAAAATTTCATACATATATTGATTTATTTCAGAATGCTATTTAGATAGCTCTAAACTAATATTGTGATATAACATATAACCTATTCAAATCGTCGTAAATTGATTATCCAATGCAGATTTTGTATGTAAAAATATGGTTCTATCTTGATCACGATATATTATAGAAATACTCGTACATCCCTAAAATGAAGTATATTATTGGCTTATTAATTATAAACGTTAGAAGATTTCTTTCTTTCCGATTCGAATCAGAATTATTAACGAAATTCATAGCATTTGAAACTTATGATTTCAACTAAATTTTATGCTTGTTAAAGTACTTCCAAAGTATTATATAATTGGAAGTAATTATATCTTATTATAGCCGAAATAGATTGCATATTTAATATTTTGGCCTTCAGAAACTCATTTTCTGTACTTCTTACAAACGTTCTCTTATTAGGATTAAATCTATCGATCTATTCTCATAAATAACGCTCTAATATCATCTATTGTCAATATTAAATTGAAATATAGAGGGTGTTGCAATACCGTATTATTTTTCATCATGGTGTTTAGTCCGTTAAATCAACTATTTCATCAATGTATGCATCTTTTATTATCAAACTAACCACTTTTATTACGCTAGTTCAAGTTCAAGTTAAAATTATATGAATCTTTATTCAATCCCTCACTTCTCTTAATTCCTAACTTATGTTTCTAATATTAGATAATTCGTTAAAATATGAATAAACTCATTAGTAGCATAAAACAAGTTTTAGGTTCTTTAATAATGATTATGATGCAAAATATAGAGATTTTTCCTCTCATTTATCTACCTTATATCGTACAGATAGATTTTGATCAACGAATTAACCTAATGTACGCCATCAGTAGTAGGTGCATCTAAAGTCATTAGACTATTCAATCCTAGAAGTGATGTCTGTTCTATTTACACATATTTACGCGTACATATATATAGTAAAAGTAAAATTGAGAAATTTTTGATGAATAAATCCCGATACTCACAAGTTTATAGCTATTCTAGACCGGCTACTGTATTAAAATACCAGCATATCGATCCTTTCAATAAGCTTAGCATGTCAATGCTTAAATTCCATTCAATTTAAAAAGGAAGCCTCAAAGTGGCTTTACAACTAATGGTTATAATTATGTATTGACCTATAATAATGCAACTGATTTACCGAGATATGTTTTTGTATTCTATTCTGCTAAAGATTACTTGAAATTTTATGATGTAGGATTTCCGTGCTAGATTTATAATTATTTCTATATAATTGCTATTGCCAATGAATTATAAATATTCTCTTATCTGCTTATTGATCTAATATTCTGATTCCCGTGTCTTCGTATAGGCAGTTCTCTTAATTTAATAAATTACATAACTTATAATCCGCAGGTCAAATATATGTGTATATGGCGTTAATGAAATTAAAAGGTATATTAACCTGGTCTTCGTTATGGTTATTGTTCTAATTCTATTCAATTTTCAATATCAAAACGTTATGGTTATTATTCTAGTATCAAAACTATCCTGGTACGAATTGTAACCATAGATAGCAGAATTTAATTAATTGAGCTATTTACAAATGACATACAAGCATTGACTTGTCTATCCTAATGAATATCTTGGTTACCGTTATCGCAAATAATTTATCATAATGGATATGAATAATTAAATATTCCAGACCTTAATAATATTATTTTTCTATTTATTAATAGATTAATTACTTGTGGAACAGTAGAATAGAAGTTACGGGCGATGAATTACTTGCTAGCTATAATCATATAATTTTAAATTCTGAATTAAAAACAAGATTTCTAAAAAAATTAGGCTAGTTATTATCATCTTATTGATATTTAATTAAAAGAACACAGCTACCATAGTTACGGCAAGAAATTCAATTAGACACAAATTTTAAGGAAAACCTGCCTTATGTTGACTTAAAATTTCATAAGCAATAATAAATTTTAATACTTATAAGCCCAGTAGTTAACGTTACGGGAAATGTATTAAGCAGTCACAATTGATAGCTACTCGCTATTTATTCTTAAACCAGGATAATTTTGCCATTTCCCGATGGTGATTAACTACAGTGCTATTTATGAATCGGAGCTATTTCATTTCCTTTATTATTTATAATTTAAAATGCGTTATTCATCCACAGCATCTAGCTTTATACAATTCCTAGACTGGTCTCCCTCGGTAATAACTAAAATATAGCGGTATAAACGAAACCCTAAGCTCTTCATCAGATATTTCGAGGACCATTAAAATTTTACTAAATCATAGAATTCTCTTGCTTTTTTAAGATAACCCACAAAAATATCAATTCATTATAGCATTTCCACAAAAATGTATTATTATCCCTTATAATAAGTAACAACATCATAGATAGGTAATCTGTTCCTGTAACATCGCCGTGTAGTTTTATTACGCTTTTATACACACCAAACATTCTCTATTAATTAACGATCCAATCATAAGAACCGCCAGCATCCTAGATTCTAAAACATATTTAAAATTTTTATTCCGATGGATCCTTATCCCAAGTCAGCATTTCCTTTGATTATTAATATAATATATATCAACTGATGTTAATTTAAAAATATCTAGGAGCTAAAGAAATATTCAAGTTATGACGTAACCGATGTGCCTATGCATAATTAGTACCATAAATTATTAACCAAAATGTCTAATTAAGGTATATGGAGAAAATTTCTGTGTATCGATTCGCCTATTAGAAATTGCATTCTTATTCGTTATTCGTTCTAACTGTCGCTAGTAAAAAGTCATCAAACAAATATGATAATTTGAATGTTTAAGAAAACTCAATTTTATATGTTACAATTGCGCTATTTGTAAGCTGCATTTTTATTCATAATGTTATTAGAAATGATAATTTTGAAAACTCTTTTCTGTTTACTAGTAAAATTGCTGACGCCTATAACCTTTAACCCCAAATTCTATGCCTAGCTGCATCCTAACTCTAACTACAACCTAGACTTAATTCGTGTATTTGTAGATACTAAAACAACATTCCTAGTCTGCTAGATATTTTTCTATGTATAAAACTTTAATTTACTCTTAGTAGCAAAGCTCAATTTAGAGATTTGTAAAAGATAATGCCTACACTAACTACATTTATATTTGATATTAAAATTGTTAGTTTTATTTCTTAGTCAAGCAAGATTACAGTGATCTTAAGACTAATATGTAAAAGGCCTTCAGGTATATTGCATGCGGATCTATAAAGCTATGCGACCGATACATAAATTATAGTATACATCATCAGTGCAATTCGGCTATTATGATTCATCGATTTAGTAAGCTATCGTATAAGCAAAGTGACATTTGAATCACTGATCAAACAAACTTTTTCTCATTCATTTAATATTTAGTTATACGCATACTTTACTTTATGCCTTAAAATTCTGATGCGATGCGCTAATATCATCGATAATGCAGCATTAAATCAACAACACAATAACACTTAGGATATTGAAATTAAAGATTTTCAAGACTGATACTACTCTTTCGAAATCTCTCAGTCTATGAATTTAATATCTTAGAGGTTTCTCGTCCAATCTTATGGTATTTTTATCGATCTCATAACTCCACCTGATTTAGGTCAAAATAGAGCATAGAAATTTTGTTAGACTTATTCAAAGGTGATACTTTCTAATATATATAAAATTATTGTCGTAAATAAAGCAGTACCGTCAGATAAGTATGGGTTAATCTGACCCATGAGCTTTTTACAGCCTGATTACTTACAGAACAGTCACTGGTAATTAATACGCATCGACGTAATGTACAATGCATAATTCTATCATACCCTACAATTAATCATAACCAAATTCAACTCGAAATTATGTGCGAAAACCCTACTAAATTATTTCAAGAACTTTACATCTTCGTATTACGAGCATAAATTTTTGTTTTATTTCTTGCAATTGATAAAGAAGCTTCCATATTCAGTGCTAATAGGACTGTAGAATCTTATGCAGTACATGATCACGCTATTATTAATCTCAGGCTAAAATTTCAAGTCTAAGGAATCATTTAGAAAAATGCCCGTTATGAAATTATTACAAATATTATAAATCATAAAACACTACCGGTAAATAGAATATTCTCGCTATTCGATTTAATAGTACATTTGAATTGTCATAATAACTTCTAGGAATATGCGAATTAAAGCTATAATCAAATCGAAAGAAAAATAGTATTAATATATTAATATGGTTTTGTGACGTAAATGTTTCAACTTTACTAGTAAAATTTAGTATAAATCAGAATACTCACTATGGTATTAATCCTCGAACAATTTAAGCAGAGGAAAAATCATATGGGCTAAGTTTATTACAACGATACATTTGAGTTAAGTTTTTCGCTAAAAATAAATTCAATGATACATTAATTACTGTAGATTATAGCCCGTGTCGTCATTTGAACTGTGTATGATGCTGTCTATATCAACATGATGACAACAGACTCGGATTAACCACAACAGCAGTTTTAGGTAGAATGCGTACATTATCTAACTACCAAGAAATAAAGAGATGTTCCGTTGTTGGCAATTTTGCTTCCCATCAATGGTTTTTTATCCACTACGATACCACAGCACCATTATACAAAATGATTCAATAATCTATTGATTGCTAAATTATGCAAAACGTTAGACAGTAATATGATTAGATATATAAGTAGACAATCAAATTTAACCTTCTAATTTGATAATCGTGCTCTGTTGTTTAGATTGAATACGATAACTATATATAATGAATGACTATACTAATGCCCGAAATTTGAAAAGCAATTGAAGTGATGATATCATATAGTCATAAAGTACATGAGGATAAGTTATAACGTGCGTTAGAATGCATTAAACAGACAAAAACCCTATTTTACTTACAGTTAACATATAGAACACGATGAAACTTAAGAATTAATAAGTTTTCGGGACATCTAAGCTATAATCTTATGCTCCTATAATTCGCCGGCCTTGTTTTGTACAAGTCTGCTATGTACTCCGCTAACTGTTATATGCATGGAAACACAAGTAACCACAAATAAACTAGCATCATTAAATAAGTGGCCAGCAGAATCTATAGTAGATTGATATATAATTAATTATTCGGAATTGAATTCGTCTCTCTGTCTTGAAATGACGTCAATATCACAATAGGTATAAGAGCTTGTACAAGTAGTGAGCAGTTAGTACGAAATAGTAAATAATTCTTTTTAATCTATTGAATTTTCAAGTATGGAATCGAACTTATACTTACACAATAGAATTAAAAATTACGTATACTCTTATAGCAACATGAAGTGAGTTTTAAACGTTTAAATCATATCCACATCAACTTTTTATATCAAAATCTAAAATTTATGAAATCCTGTTGGCTAACGCTATCTTCCCAAAGTCATACACTATTGTCGATAAATATCTTATGTTCCAAAATTTAAAATTACTAAGTTGCAATATAATGTTGCATTTATTGTTATCGACTCGGTTATACTAGTATCAAACAATATTGATAGTACAATTACGAGAATCAGCCTAAAAATTAGCTTAAATTTTGCTACTTTGCGCATGATTTAAAATAAGAATGATCAGTTTATAAACAACTGAAATACCAGTAAGTAATTTTGTTACGCGAATCAATTTATATTTATGATGATTTCTTGCCAATTGTCACAAAACAGCTTTACAACAAGATAACGTAAGGTAAGATCAATAAGTCAATTCCTTGAACCTCGTATCAAGGAACGATATCTGCACTATCATGAACACGTTTGCTCTACTAGCAGACTACACAAAGACTTAGACGCCTCGTATTTTACGTTAAACACTAAGTTTGAGAATTAATTTTATTACACGATATACTGCATTTATATACTCTTCCTCAATAGTTCGTTAGTCATAATTTGTACGATTAACTTAGGAATCATTCACTGAATTAGACATTAATTTTAGCTACTACTCCCTAATACAGACAACAGTATTTACGAACATAGTCATCTGATCACTAATACAGAATAGTCAGATTACGATATATCCTACCACGGAACATTTCCACGATAATTTACAATCTACCATAACATAGATATTTCTACTCTAATACAGTACAGCATGTAACACTGTCACACCAATATAAAAACAAGTTTTCATGCAATGAAATATTCTTGGTACAAATTTACAAGAAGCAATCTCTAGATACCATCTATCGATCTCTAAGTTAGAAATGTACTTAACATAAATAACAACTTTATTCAACAACTACCGATATTGTTTAGGTAGGTGGCCATAAAAATTAAGGTACTTTTTTAGATTCTTCGATTCTCCCATGTTAATACTATCAAGATGGGAGTGAATCTTCATTTTAATGGAAAATAGCTAAACTTACTAATTAGCTAATTGTATTATATTAATTAATGGCCTGATCATATTTTACTTATAAAATCTATCTTTAATGACCGCATAATAGACTCCTGCTAGTACTATATGGTCGCCTACGAAAGCCAAAATTACTGTAATTAGCTGAGATCCTTACACTATCATTAAAGCAAATATTGTTATCGAAGAATGTCATAAAATCTCTTAGAGACAAAGTTGGTGCTGATCTGAATACAATTATTGTATCTTTGTCAAAATTTTTTACATATTATGTACATACGTTTATTTGCATCCAAAAGATAATACAGTACCAAACATATGGGATCTATTATCACATTTACTCACATAAGCTTCCTCCAACTCTATATTATCTTCAAAATCGACTTGAAGTAATAAATAAAATAAATGATATGAATACAACGCAGATAGTTAGCGAATCTCCCTAAATAACCGATATTTCGCTGACCGTGCCAGTTCTTCAAAAATATATTCTTACTATACGTAAGAGTATCAAATGATTAGAACATTGCTTGCTGAGTTGAGGCAAAACATTACTCTTGTATCGTAGAATATTCTGGGACTGTGATAAATTGGGCACATAAAGACTAGCAAGGTAGAATACTAATATATACAAATTGAATTAAATTTAATATATCGTATTTTGTACTTGCGCTTATAATTTAATAATCAGATACTTTTTTCTGCCCTGATTTAGCAAATAGTAACTCAGTTGAGTGACCTAACTAAATATATTTAATAGCTAATAAACTATTGAACCTGAAAATTATCACCCCAACAAATTGAAATTTAATTATTTGCTGTAGGCTCTGAATCTTTATTAGTCTTACAGCACCTAGACTATAAATTATAGAGAGTTAATATCATAAGGTAATTCAAATTTATTCTACTAATCGGTTATACTTTCACAGAGCAATCTTCGGCAGACTTCCATGTATATCTGACTATTAAATAATCTGTATAATTCTTAAATTATATTTAGCCTTCTACTTCGTCTAATCATTCAGAATACAAATACTGAAGTGGTTATACTCAACATTTCGTTACTTTTACCTAGAATAAGTTTATAAACGGCTAGTACATAAATAATACTACAGATTTATTTTCACAGACGTATTTATTAAATCATTTCTACACACGCACTACCAAAGTGGACAGATTTCTACTTATATTCAATATTTTATAATTATTCAAGACTATATAGTTATAAATTACAAAGGACTGATTAGTTATTATTCAATGTAAATTGATTTAGTTTGTTGCATATCCAATTAATTGCATGTAAGAATAAAAATATAAGGATAGTCATGGTCAGTTCTTTACTATAAACTCAATTTTGGGTGTGTATTAGATGTTATTCCCTATTGCATTCAATCAACTTTCTATCGCCAAATAATCATCTCGTTATTAAATTCTATATTTAAAACTTCAATTGAGTACTACGAATGATTTTACTTTTAATATTAATATTTTAATCGAGATTCGTCATACCTGAATAAGATTAATTTAGTTTTGGATATAAATTGTTTAAAAAGAGTCTCATTTTCAAATTTCTGATATTAATTTTATTTATTTACGCGTAAATAATAGCTTCTAATAATTTAGCCTTCTACTACATTATTCATAACACATGATTCAGACTGAACAAGTAACTATTTATATAGTATTACAGTCCGATGATATAATATCGCAAATTCGCAATAAATGGCAATCATCACTAGAAATTGATATTCTTACAAGTTCATAAAATATCGGTGGCCGTAGTATCACATCCGAATAATAACCAAATTCGGTGTATAACATTTTCTCATTGACTGAAAAAATCGTCGAAATTCTTAAACAAGTTCTCAATAGCTTACTTAATATTTTACTAGCTAGTGATAATATCGCGAAATCGAAAGCAAGCGTAATCTTTGTACTACATCATTTGATAGTGAAAGGAAGCGATACTAACGCGATACTGAAAGCTTATTAATTGGAGCGAATATAGGTTGCCTGATCGCATTTTCTTCCGTTCTTATACTTTTGATACTGTAATTAGCGTTTTATTTACTGTATTACCATGCTAAATAAAGTGCATTACACAAGCCTGACCCAATATAATTTCAGTTTCTACCACTATTAAATTACTTTAATAACAACCTGGTAAATAAAAGGAAAATGAGATAATTAAGTTTACTATTGTAATAGCTAATTGACAATGCCCATAAGCAGAATCAATTTTCTTGCCCTGATATAGATATAAGAATCTCTACAACCTAAAGTTATTAGTTTATGTTATTATCCAGGAACCGATTCTAATCAATATAAACAACCCAGTAAATTATAGAAAAATGAGATAATTAAGTTTGCTATTGTAACAGCGAATTGACGGTGCACGTAAGCTAATCTATTTCCTAGCTCTGATATTGATATGAGAATCTCTAACTTGAAGTTGGTGATTTATATTCTATCCCAGGTTAGCTTCAAATAAGTAGAATAAAAAAAAGATTTGGGTATGTTACGAGCTAAGTTATAACCAATCCTGTGAACTATGGGAAGATTATTGCAAGTTTACTATTGTAACTGCGAATTGACAGCGTACATATGTTAACCTATTTCCTTATGATGACATAGATACGAAAATCTCTATAACCTAAGTTTGGTAGTTTATGTTATATCTAGGAGCAGATTAAAAATATTTATAATTGGATAGGTTACGGACTGAGTTACAATGTAAGAGTGACATTATGTTACCCCATTGTGGGGCTGTTTAATATTAATTACATTTGCTGTAAAAACTATTCAGATCAATTCTTTCCATTTTACTAGTGCTCCCTTGTTAATAAATAAAATTTATTCTCTATATAAAATATAGGATGTTAATAAGCATAAAATAATTTATCAAGGTTGGCAATTCTCAATATTTTCATCAACCATCATGGTAAGTCATGCACCGACAATAATGGCCACCAATGCCACCATAACTGCTATACCTGTAAAATCTGAAAGCATTAGCGTTGCTACAGCTAACATCCTATATGCGATATTTGCATCATTATCCATCCTAGACAATATACTGATTTGTTGGCTGTTTCTGAGAAATAGTCAGTTACTACGCCTTGCATCAAGTATCCTTATCTTTAGTTTAGCTATCATTGATATCTTAACTGGAATATTAATTATGGCTACGCCAAAAACTTATGGAGGTATCCAAATCCATTTACAAGGCGTTGATGCGGTACTGTATTGTACTCTCGTCTATTCCGAGTATTTTATCTGGACTCTTGGTATCGCATCTTGTTATATCATTGCTGCCCTAAGTGTTGAGCGATTGTATATGGTTAGTGCTGCAGCGATGTATAAATATGTATTTACACCGACTAAAACGATCCTCTATGTGATCTTGATTATTCTTTGGGCTGGTATCTTGAATGCGCCCAATTTCTATCATTTTTATCACAACGAAAATATAACCAACCCTGTACCCTGTGGATTCCGAATCTTGGCAGTCGATGAAACTGCTAGTCGAGCAATTTATTTCACCAGTTTTGCTTTACGTTTTGCCATTCCCCTAGTCATCACCATTACCTGTTATGTTGGATTTATGCGCAAAATAAGGACTGCCATAACGTGCATATCTAGTGCTAATAATGTTCAAACTGGTAAACGTAGCCGTTTAATGCTACGACGGTTAACGCGAATGTGCGTCCTAATTTCTATCGCTTTCTGTATTTGTTGGTTACCTAACCAAGTTTATTTCGTTTTAAGGGCTCAAAGATTAATAAAGCATAACCTAGCTTTCCATATGTTCACCAAAGTACTCGTATCCATGAACTCTGCTATCAATCTGTTCATCTATACTGCATCAAATCTCTATTTTTATAACGAATTAATAGCTCTCATTAAATTTATTTGCTGTTGTAAACGTGTACAAAGAAAAATAGGGTTTTTGTCAGCTTAATGTCAAGGAGCTATTTTAATCCAATTACCAGCCTTATCATGCTCTAAGTTGAAATAGAATTCCGTAATAGTGAATTATACGTTAAGCTAAATACGTGCCAGTATTACTCATAAATGACGTCAGCAGATCTGCTGTTATGGTATAACTGAAATGTGTGCTATAACTCCATTTTGTTTTATAGAAAATCTACACTCCATAACTGAACTGCTTATGGAAACACTATATTATACTGACATCCATTCGTTTTTAGTATAACTCTGTATGGAATCTCCTAAATTCACGTGGTAGTAGAGCACTTTAACGGTATCAAATTATCACAATGTTGATAAATCAGTATAATGACCGAGTAATAGTCTTTTACTATTAATCAGACGAATAAATTTTGGGTATGATTACATTTCTAAAAGTCTTCAATGCGGTAAACATTTAGATATCTATTAATATGACAACACTATTTGTTCACTAGCTTAACTTTAGAGGAATGCTTCTTCTTTCTTGAATTGATATAAATTTATTGCTAAAATTAATAGCATCTAGATCTACTTCTTAAAGGCAACTTTCTTCTAATATTTACGCTTATTTAAATAATGTTGATTATACTATAATTAAAATTGACTATCTTTTAATCGTAATCAAAGTAAATAGCATACGAAATCTGTTAGTTTTCACTAATTTCTTCTTCTCCACTAGAATTTACTCTCTCTCTCTAATATTAGATTTACTGATCTATTTTTATAAACAAAAATCTAATTTCTTCTATTATAAATAAATTAAAACATAGATTACACAGAAAAGTTGTGCTAATTTCCTAGAATGCAGCTATAACACACTATTTCAATTATCTTACCTAATCGCCATGCTTTCAACGTAGAATTGGCTATGACTTTAAAGTACTTTCCAAGTAAGAAGAATTAATTTAAAGAAACTATCAACATACGTCTAAGTAATTCATGATTGGTTAATAATTAGTGCTAATTATTGCTTATAAATATGCATTTTGCACCAAAAATTAAATATTAATTGGTATAGCTTGTAAACAATAAATAACAAAGTTTAGACACCAAATAAAATCTGGGGAAATAATCGATCAACGATTTATTACAAGAAAAATGGAGAGAAGTATAAACCGAACAGCCTTACAAATACTTAACTTTAAGTATTAATAAAATAAGTGACAGACTTAAAAACTGTCAACAACCAAACAATCTTTCAAAAAGAAGAACGTTTCAACTTACGATAATTCGACCCCGAAGGCCTTCTAAATTCAACTAGTTCTTCTAAAGAATCTTCTTCTACTCTCCCTCTAGATTTTCTAATTGCACTATCATTTATAGGCTTTGTAGAGCCGTAAGAGGTATTTAAAACTAAACATTTACTAACCAATCGCTCTTAAGATCCATTTTAGAAAACTACTTTGCACCATTTAAGAAAACAAAAATCATTCAAAGTTCGGACACAATTTACCCCATGATTCCCTTACAAAACACTATAAAACCAACAAGTTAACTATAAAATACATCAAACTTCACTTCTAACATAATTTCTATCATTAATACATTATAAAAGTCTAAAAATTAACCTTTAAACATCAAGATTTAGTCATAAAAATAACAGTCTAACTACTTAACAATCAACACAACCTCTGCCAATTCCCATCTTATTTTCTATTTTCCTAACTAAACTTTCCTAATGTGACTTTCATATCACGCCATAAAATTTCAAAGTTTCAAATTCATAATAAAAAGTTCAAATTTCAAAAATCAACTCGTACGATATTTTTCATAAACTAAAATCTAATAGTTAAAACAGAAAATTAAAACAGATAAATTAATACAGAAAAATTATATCGGACATAAATCCGAGCGGTTCCGGAATCCGAATCCGAAAAATCCGGATTTTATAAAGATCACAGTAATCGCTTATCAAGAAATTTTATATGACTACTACGACTACTTTTCTGACATCAGGATCGCTTAGTATTGATAATATTGATGTTTTAGCGTCAGGTTGTATGGTAACTGTACGATTATAGACTACATTACAGTACTTTACGGTCATGTTATAAATCCCCTTTCTCTATGGATAGGGTTTTGTTACTAAGTCAAGTTCATTTATAACTTGAATACACTATCAAACGCCCTTTCTTTAGATTAGGCAATTGCTCTAGGGCTACTTCTATAGTAATCTGTATAATACCTCGTAAAATAATGAAGAAGAAAAGATGGCGACATGATGATTTGGCAGGGTAAAACTTAAAGACACTATCACTTTATAGGTATTTTTTATAGTAAAATAATACTAGTTACATACTAAAAGCTATAGAGGACTCTGCTTTTAGTCCTTTACTACAGTTACCATTCACTAGCTATGATTATCGCTATAATATCGGCCTAATTTTCACAAATAATCCTCGGAATAGTAAAATTTACTTTATTGATGTACGAAAACCTAGTATAATAATGAAACTAGTTTTAAGCTAGTTTTAAATTTCTACTTGCAATAAAAATCAGCGATATCCGGACGTCCAATCCGATAGAAATTACTTTCTGATATTATAGATACAGCGCTCAATAATTCATAGTAAAGCACAAACACTGATATAATAAAACGATGATTATCGTTTTATTATTTTCTAATCTCCGGTAATTCTCACTCGAAATGCTTTTAATGAACTTTAACGACATACGAAAATTTACTACCATAATACTATAAAACTATTTTAAGAGCCGTTTGAAAGTTAAATATAAAGCATGATGCTATGTTATATTTACAATGTAAAAGCACCTTAATGGTTGAGAACTTGATCGGACCTTCTATAAGTGAATGTTATTCTAGTTTTAGTTTATCTGAAGGATCTGAGCTTATTTTTATTCCATTATGATATAGTACGCCAGAATAAGTAATTTTATTAATACTCTGTGGGTGTAACTCTTTATAATTAAACTAGAACAATGCCAGTTACGTTATTTTAAAAATATTTTACAATATGATTCAATGAATATCAAATATAATCTTTCTGGATAACTCCATGGGAACTGTTATGAATTCACTGCGTTATTTTTTAGCCTTAAAAGTCAAGATGATAGTTGCAAAACATCATTGAAACGAAATAGGCGTGACGTTTATGCTAACTAAAATTTATTCATATCTGACACAGAATCCAATAGAAACAATTTTATATCATAATGTAATAGAATCATATCTTGATCTAGTTTACCTACAAACAGAAATAAAGAAATGCATCATAATTGCATAGAGTGCTTAAAATAGTACCCATACTTAGGAATTAATTCCTATGTTGGTAATTAAATTGAAATATTTATTAAATACATAGATAACCTAAAGCAGTTGAAATCAAATTATTACCGTGTCTAAAAGTAACATAAATAGAGAAGAATATCGCATGATTAAAGTAAAACCAGCAATGCTATAGAATTCGACAAGTGAAATACTTATCCATATATATCTAAGTGCAATAATGATTCTAAGGTTTAATCAGCTAATAGTAATCGATTTATATCTTCTATTTTTATAATTGAGCAGGCAAAGAATACGCAGTAGCATTTTAATTTAAAATGTGAAGTATTTCCTTATTGTAGTCAACGTGTAATGAGCTGTATTATTTATTATGATCCATTTTCTACTCCAATTTGCATTTACTGTTGAGTTATAAGTCTGATAAGATTCTAAACCCTTAAAATTAGAAGATTAAAATTAACTCAATCATATCGAACAGACCACAAATGAATACTGATTTTTTTACGATATAGCCAACGAAGGGCATAAATTCTGCTGCTATGAATGAAGCTAAAGTGCAAAATTGAATCAATCGATAGTCTATAACGTTTGTTGGCTATCTAAAATTAAAAGGCAGAAATAGGTTAATTAATTTTTCACTTTTCCTGGATTAGGTCAGTCACACTATCTTGAATTATTTTCCCAGTTGTCATACATAAGTTCATATTTTTAGAGCCATAATCAGGAAATAACCAAGTTTGCTTCTAGAAATCAGTCTATAGAAAAAGTAATTCATTTAATAGAAAGAAGGAATTAGACTAACTATAGGCATGATTATTACTTCAATTAGATTTATAAATTCCGTGACAGAATATATGAAAGGGTTAAAAATCAGCTTAATATTCGGTCTTATGTATGCATAAATTAATAAATTGTTCATAATTGCTTATAAATGTAGCTAGACTGTTTGAGATAGGTAATTCAGCATCTCCATATCTATGTTACAAATGAGTCCAAATAAGGCTATCAAGTCTGAAGATATAGCAAATCTCGTAGACTTTAGCAATCTTCGTAATGTCTAATCCTGCTTATAGTGACTTTCTGTATTTACACAGAAATGAGCAATGAATATTGCAATATTATTTCTACCTAAAATAATTTCTAAGATTATAATTTTAAATATCCTGCGTATCATTTTAGCTAACCTTTGATCTATCAGAGAAACTATCAGTTGACATCGCATTTGGTAAAATAATTTGGCTTCCAGCTGTAATAGAAATTAATTTCGAGATTCAAGTATTTGCTTAAGAAATATAGTAATAGTTAAAATATTTTTAGTGGAAAAGCTTTCATTATAACAGAAATAGATTTAATAATCAACTCCACAATTGAATTGGTTACTCAATATCTACAATAATTATAATCACACTGTTATTGCGATATCATTAAATGATAAGTTTCCACCTACAAAAGTACAGAATTTGAATATAAGTCAGCTTCAGATTTAAATTACTCAAGGTATAGTATTAACAGCTTGAACTGTTATAATGTAATTAGAGTGAGGCATATTTTACGGAAAAATAATAAACTTAAGGATTTATTCTAACAGTTTCCAATCTTTACTACATCATTAGCAGATCTTATTCTATTTAACTTACAGGTACTATGTCTAGATCGGGAGAATAGTGACATATGCAAGCTTGTCGATTTGTTCGATTTGCCACTCTGCAGAAATAAAAGTGGTAGCAAAAATTAGTTATTGGTCTGTACAATTCTTTAATCTATTAGCTCCTAAATTATCAAATATTAAATATTCCGCTATACTTACTCGAGTACTGGATCGGCTGGCACTGCGCTTGTAATATGTTGCAATAACCTAAAACGAAAAATGTTGCTTGACATTAATCGCAGTTAACATAGTAAGACTCTACAGATAGAAATTGGATAGATGGGGTGACAAATTCTTAATATATATTCTGACATTTGTAATAATATCATAATCGACTAACTTGTCTATCCAACAGACAGTGAAATACAAAGAAAAAGAAGCCTTGAAGCCCAATTAAGGCGGTGAAGATATAGTCAATAGCAGCCACGTTAACAAATCGGACAAAGATCAAAACCCAAGTTAAGCCAAGTAAAGGCATCAATGACATAGCACGCCATAAATCTTGTCTATTTAGTAATCGGCGATGATGGATTAGTAAAGGCTTACTTTTAAATAATTTTTTGCATGTCTTGGAATATATAACTATTATATAGGTACGGATACCAATCTTATTTCATGTTTTAGTAAATGATCTCTAAATTGGAAGGCTTTAACCTTAGCATGTACAGTAGACCACAAGCCTATAACTTCGCTGCCATAAACTCTCTATTCAGCAAGCAAATAATTCAGAATTACCTAAGCGTCTTGGTCTTATCCATAATTTCACTTTCACCTTTCTTAGCATAAGTCATTCGAGTCGATAATCGCTTATGGATAGCATGAAGAACAACCGCCAATATAAAGATATTGACCTATGAAAAATCATTAAAAGTTTCAACAATTGATGGAGTATCAGTGTGACAAAATCTAATTGCAAACAAAGTAATATGCTTAAGCTTTAGCAGGTAAATTTGTTATTATTTTAGGAAACTTACTCCAACAACTCCGGCAGCAGGACCAAGGAAATACCAAATATGATCAGATCTTAACCAACAACTGTTAATAATATGATAAAATTAATTGATGATTCTGTCAGTTAAATTATAGTTATAGTTATATGTATCAATTTTTAGGTAAATAATAATCTCATTAACTTACAATCCGGATCCGATTGCTATATCGGAATTGTTATAAGCATGTGGGCTAATGATTGGAGTTAAAGCAACGGGAACAGCTGGCAGCACTATCATAACGAATTATGAAATAATTAATACCACATACTACATGAAATAGCGCCAGAATAATATTTCTTCCGAATATTTAATAGGAAATGGAAATAACGATTCGGAAGCAATGGCATAGATGATAGATAACGTAGATCATAGCTTAGTTAAAATAATCATTAATCCAAAGTATTAAGAAATAAGATTTATGACATACACCATCCTAGACCAAAGTAGAATAGGGTCCAAAGACGACTATCTTGAGTGAAAACAGTAATTAGTAGACGATACATATGGATCCCTTCTACTAACATCCAAGTAAAGCAAGCAGTGGCTACATATTGTAACATAATTGCTTTTGCGATACATAGCGGCTATAATAAGATAAAGCAGAATATACAATTTAATGACAATCAGCTCGTTCAATATTTAGGTACAAATGACATCAGTGTGTTCATTGCAATGGCAAAAGAAAGTTCAAATTAAGTCTTTCAAAAATTTTGAAATATTTGATCCAAAAGTAGTATAAATTATATATAGCTACATGTATCTATTTTTAATCGTTACTATCAAAATTAATTCCATCTAGGTATAGCATTAATTGCTCCTATCCATATCTATCTATTTGCAACCTTTACCATTAAAATTAAATTCACCCCACTGTCGTACAAATTACACCAATTTACGTATATCTATCTATTTTCTCCGCTGACGCATTCTGCGATCGATATATTATCCAATACTGCTACCGGATCTCAATCAGGTGCAATGATTAAAAGTTATCAACTTATTTACTTCTAAACTTTTTCTAACTTCATCTCAAATCTAATAAGTATAAAGTTTCAAATACAGTATCTACCGTACATACGTATATATTAATATACCACAATTATGAGCTTCTACAGACATATTTCCTCCTTGATTCACTTATTCGTAAATTGAAGTATATTTCTTAGACTGTACCTGGTTCTTCCTTCATAAATAAACCTATGATCTAAATCCTCACCGAATCTGACTCTGCTGGAACGTAAGGCATAATAAAGACCACCATGATGTTAGTTAGAGCAATTGCAATGACAAGGTTAGTGTGAATCATCCATTTCTTGGAGGGTGGTAGGCTGCAAAGGGCATTGATAGCATTAAAAAGTTGCTAGTAACTTATTTATTACAGTTGATTAAGCTTATATCAATCAGTAGCTCATTGATGAGCTTCTGCAGTGATTAATTTGTTCGATATTGGCTGTACTTATTTTTCTCATTTTATGAATTAAAATCACTAACATACAAGTCTCTAATCATATTCTCAGTGGAACATATTTATAATTCATATAAATAATTTACAAACTTTATATAACTAACAGATAACAGATAGATTTACTCACTGCAAAACTGCATAAGCCACTAATGTTAATGCTATACAAAGTAAAGAGACACAGCTTGTAATAAGCCCAAGGAGGCGCAAAGCTTCTCGATCAGCACCAGATCCAGTTAGGGTATTATTACTTCCATTTTGCTCCTGTAATGATAATAGTTGAAAAAAATAACATAAGAATCTCATCTAACTTGCATTTCAGCTTTTCTTCTCAACTTTGCAACAATTCATGTTACTGTACGTTAACAAAATAGCTGCCCTCTAATTGCGTTCAAGTTATACCTCACCTGATAACCAGCACCTCCTAAATCACTGAAAGTAAAGGGAATTGGATTATTAAATATAAGGATACTTGTTCGATTAGCTGGTGGAACAGTCGAGCCAATAAGTGGACAAGGCTCTTTCTGACCCGTTAAAGCAATAGTAATACCATGGATAATATCCTCGATATGAAGATTATTTTCATCAATCTTGTAATTTGGATCTTGAGAAATCTCAGTATGTGCTTTGCCTACTAGAGCAGCTAATAAGGTATGAACCGTATTCTTAAGCCGATCCATTGACGTCTCCTATCGAAAAGAAATTTAAAGTAAAATTTATAGCATGATTTATTAAGAAGAAATAACTACATTAAACAGGAATATTGGAAATAATTATTTTCTAGTAGAGAGTTATTATAATAGTATTAGCTATACAATTACCGGCACCGGACAGTGTTTATTAGCAACCATGTGCCTGACCATTTTGATACCACCGTAAGCTAGGCACTAATAATTAATTTATAAATTAAGCAAAATATTATCGATAACTGTGGTTAATTTCTTTTTGATTCTACCTTAAACATGACAGTAATAATTAATTTATAGATTAAGCAAAATATTATCATATATACAGTGAACAAGAAATAGATTGATCCTTAAATATTGAATTAGCTTTTGATTTGGGAATCATGTAACTATTAGCTATATTATAGTCAGTCTGACTAGATAAATAATGCTATATTGCTTACATGCAAACGAAACTTTTAAATTTCATGATAATTATTGACTTAGGTCAAGTTTTAAAATTGAGCATTTCAATTTGAAGAATGCTAATTAATATATAGCAAACTTCATACAGCATAACTACATCATAAATTAAAATTTATCATTAATATTTCTTAAAGACCTAATCCATACTTACACAACTAAATATCGTGAAATTCTTATTACTGGTTTCAGTTTGATTAAGCCTGGATTGATATAATAGCTCAAATCCTTTAATAGGTATATTAAAATCAGCAACATCATTAAAATGATGGCGGATAAAACTCGATAGCACACCCAGATAGTACAGCGTGTAGTCATACGCAAATGGTGAATCCATCTAATCATAGAAATGAAAAATATAAATCGTCAAAATGAAATAGTTTTCATATGCTCGTATTTCATCATATGCAAAGCTTAAAGTTTACAGCATTTTTGTCCGTAACATTAAATACTATAATTCAGGATAATTAGATTAAGCGTTCCTTCACACTCTCTCTATATATACTTCTATTTAGTAAACATTCTTTTTACTAAAACATTTACGTTGGCTCAGTTTGATATTTTGTCCTCAAGACATTCTAAGAGGATGATACTAAAACACATATAAACTGAACTAAATAATAATTTAATTCCTCTCTCTCTCTTTATTTGTAAATTTAGAAAAAATATCGCCGCAGTAACAAGCAAAAGGAAAGTAATTTTATTTTTTAACCTGTAATTACCATAACTTAGACTTGTAAGTTAAAGATCGCTATTCTTACCCTACTGACAACATCGTTCAGGACTTGCGAGTGGCAATTGCATGGATCTACGGTATCCCATTTAGCCTGATCGTTTACCGGTAAGCAAGTTCTCTGCACGTAACCTAAAGATATTCCAAATTTGCCAGCATCAATAATGAATTCATTAACCTTACACTAATAGATAAATTGAAATGATAGCGAATAATTTTATTATCCATTTACCACTAAGGTGCATTTGTAAGCCTTCTTGATTACGACAGTCGTTTATCTTATCGCACTTGTAATAATTAATACAACTTTCTGTTCTTCGGCCAGTTATAGTTACGTTTCTGTAGGTAGGAGGCCACAATGTACCATCAAAATATTGGGAATAGCATTTACTAGCTTGCTCTATAATTTTGCGAGTTCAATAAAAGTGTGAGAAATTCGATTTTCATCACTATAAGGTAAAAATGACCACTGATATAAAGATAAAGAAACCTTATGCTTCTAGTTTTGCTATCAATCTTAGATTACGATTAACGCTGACACGAACATTTCAAGTCAAACAGCTGTTAAACTACAAATCAAAAAATGACTATTGATTGTAATGAGAGATAAAGAAACCTTGTACTTCTAGTTTTGCTATCGATCTGCAATTATGTAAATTAATTATCATTTATTCTAGTATGAAAATTTTTAATAAAATAGTCATAGCTATAAACAATTCAAACTGAAATAAAAGGCACTATTAGAAAGCAATTATTGTAACTAACCAAAATATGAGACAATTCTATAGATGACCAGTTGTTGCATATGGATTTATTACAGTAAACAAATTAACTGTAGTGTACTGCTTGGAGTCTGCTGTCATACTTGTTCTCTAAGGCAGTTACCTGCATTACAACTCAATAATTGCAACTGAAAATCGTCAAGGGTCCACAAAAACTTCATATCCCTCCTAAGTTATAAGCTAAGTTCTTTCTTAAAACTAGCTAATAAACTAGCTAACCTATAGTATCATGATGTTAATATTCATTATCGGCGCTTATATGATACTATAAATTTATGCAATTATTTATTCAAATCTGTCTAAAAAATTAGCTAATTTATAGTATTATAATGTTAACAATCATTATCAGTGCTTATATAGCACCATAAAAGTATATAGTACCTATTAAAATTTGTATGAAATACTAGATAATAGTATTATCAGTACAGTATATACCAAACTATCCCATCTATCGAAATAGATTTAGAATTTTTCAATGAAAAATTACTTCATGACACCAATCTAACTGCTATATTTTCTCACTTATGAAATGGAATAGATATACGATAAAGATTTAAAAAAGTAAATTACAGACGAAGAAAACACTGTTCGATTCGATAGAATATTCTAAACAGCTCAATATTCGACTCAAATATCTGACACAGTTCTCATTCTTCCGCAGATCTATATTAAGAGCCGTTTATTGGAAAGGCGATAGAACTAAGAGGTATTGACTTAGATTATAGCTAAGAGCACGATATTAAAGAAAAACTACCTAAACGTGGTGGACAATCGGCAACAGACGCAGCTGGTTCAAAGTTTTGACAGCATATAACTGTGCCATTTGTATCGTTGGCCAGAGCATCTACTATTGGAGCCAATGTTTTTGGCTACAAGCAATGAAAAATTCAGCTAGTGTTAAGTTAATTGAAAACTTTAGTTTAATCGTTTCAAGAATAAAGTGTTAGGTGCCGCCAAATCTAAGGCAGATATAAAATAATCAAATTATTCAAATTATTTATACTGGGTTTGGATAACTATAAAATTTGCTACACCAATTAAATACATATAAATTTCATTAGTATTCAGGTAAAGTCGGAAGTGAGGTTTAACACATCTAAGTTCATTGTAGAATTATTCTAAGAACTAATTCAAGCAAGTTAAAATGCATCTGAAATATCTTACCGCATCTGAACAAGAAGTAAGATTCATGACTCTCAGAGCAGCTTGATATAGACACTATAAATTGACGTAGAATGAATTTTGAAATAACTTTAAACTCAATATCTATTGTCAGTAGAATTGCTAAAATGATTCGAAGTAAATAATTCCAGAACTCATGATAGAGGAAAAGAACTTACATGAGAATTCCAATTTCGCGTTAAATCATTACTATGAGAGGGCAATGAATAGATTGAATATAAAGTTTTAATGGTAGAAACCAAATCATCCAAAAAAAAATTAGGATTGCCAAGTATTCTTCTGGGTTGACTAAAGAAATTACTCATAAGTTCATTGTCCACATTTTTTGCATAAGTGTGTAATACTGATGCATTTGTGCTTTCGGTGGTATTCTATAAATTGTAAAAATAAAAAAAAAGGAATTTTAAATTATTCATTTCAACTTAGACAAGAACTACTCTCCAATAATTTTTCATATTGCCTATGAATACGTCATATCATATGTCATTTTATAACATAAAAGAATATATGATGTCTGTATCAGGTTAATATTAGCATATATTGTTAATACAAAATAAAATGAATTTATTTCAATGACATAGCAAATCTACTCTCTGCATCCTTATAGCCTTGACCATTACGCCTATAGCTAACGTATAAATAATAGATAACTATTTTATTTTGAATAGATTAAATTTTTGGTTGATAGATTTCTAAATTAATTTATAACTGAAGTATAAATTATCATTTTTACTTTATTCTGAATAGGGTATATTAATATTACAAATCGATGAACTGCTCTTATGATTTCAGCTTGATTAAAATATCAACATTTTGCATTTCGGTTCGTTTCATTCAACAATACTATAATCTAAGGTACATTAAAATTTAAAAGCGACAGAAAAAGGCTGAAAGGTAAGCTGTAAAGCCAAGAATTCATAAAAAAAATCATTACAAAAGTCTTCATTAATAGTATTTAAATTAGTCCTGCATCATCTAATTAAATCAATTAAAAATCTTAATACTAGCAGCATCTATAAAAAATTGAACAATAAATAGAAAGCTGGTTACGGCTCTATAATATTCATTTCTATAATTTCTATCAGAATTTATTATTACAATTTTATAGGAATACGTTGGAATAATTACAGATTCAAACAATAAAATGTAAATCACATGAAGCCCTTTACCTCAAGGTTGGCTTTCATATTTGCAATACTTTTTTGATTACATCGGCATATGTCAATGTCTGTTAATCCACCTAATATCCAACCTCCAGGAGCTTTCCAACAAGGTAATTTCACTTCTCCAGCTATAACTATAACAAAATCATTAAGCTAACTATTAGTGCAAGGATAAAAATACTGGCGATATTCCGTATATAGTACTATGATATTGCTATTGATCTATGAAATAATAGAGTAAATTAATTAACGACTTTATAACATTCAGCTATTGGAGGCCTTAAAGTCGGCATACACAAAATCGTAAAGGCAGGCAATTAAATAACTCATCTGACCAAAGTTCTAGCTGTCCATCAAATACAATCAGTAGTTTCCTATATTTCTATATCAATTTTAAATACAGAAACTCCTATAGGCAGGCAAGCAATGAATTATCTATCTTACTAAGGAGGTCATTGTAGCTATTCATTCAAGATCTCCTTGGATCTCAATATTTTTCAAATCATCTTATAGCGTATTATAGACCAGATTGTTTACTATCGTATTTCGTCACAGTTTTATACTTATACGCCAATCGCTATCCTATAATTCGTTCTTTTTAAATAAATCGAGTGCTGTATAACGTAGTTTGAATTCAAGTCATCTATTTTAAGACTACATAGTTGCATCTTCCCAAATTTTAGAAACTGCTTTATCTTGATATTTGTCTATTTTTAGTAAACTTACGATTGCATTTTTAATATTAATCAAATGAATCAAAGTTCCAGATATCAACAAATCTAGGTGATTATAATGTAAAGAAGCGTCTGCCTTGCATGAAGAGCATATTAAAGTACAATCAGTACGGTAATGTCATTTATTCTTAGCCTTGGTACACTTTGAAAATAAGAGAATATTATCTACTAATGATATCAAATAGAATTATCTCTTACCTGTATTTCCTTGAGTACCAAATAGTGAAGTAGATCTGCAACTATGAGATACATTTATTGTAGTATCGTTTGAATTCGAATCTGGCTTAAGATACCATATTGTTCCAGCTACAAAGCCGTAACAAAATGGATATGCAGTACTGGCAGTAGCTACAGAAATAAATCAATACGTTATCATATTAAGAAATACTGCATGAATACATTTATATAATATATATTTAATAACGTATACACATTTATCTACAAATGTTGAACCATTAATTAAAATATACAGGCACATGCATGCTCAACCATAGGTTGTAAATTAGTAAATGCAATTTACTAATTATGTTTCAATTGAATATTTCATAATACAGTTGAGTATTTTGTTATAACTGACATAAAGTTGTAACTATTGTAAAGTTGTATAACAGTGAACATTGTAATCACAATTATTTGGCTAAGCATTTAACTCTCGGAATTGTTATTTAGTATTAGATACGTACTGTAATATACGAACTCATTATATGCCATCTTAAGTAATTTCCTATGACTGGCATGAAGCCACCTCTGCACTAATTGTGTAGAATTGCGATTGTACTAATGATGTGAATTAGACTAGAAATTTAGTAGCTACGGCAACAATTATATCATAATCATAATGGCTGATAATAGTAAGTAGCTCGCTTCCATTTTCATTGAACTTAGTCAAAATATCGATAGATCTCGCATAGAATACCTTTCTAATAATATAATATGCAAATTTAAACTAGTGGAACATTGAGTACCTTTATCAGCTCTTTCTAAGAGAATTAATCACAGATTGACTATTTTAAAAAAATTGCTTTCATAGTATACAATAATGTATATAGCAAGGTTAAGAGAAAAATGATATTTTGAATATCTCCATACTTAAGCACATTTATATCTCTTTATTACTTTTCAGATTCTGATGCAAAGCTGATAAATTCATAAAAACGTTCCCTAACAGTAGCATACTACTTAGTGCTACAGGTAATAAACCAGCACCAATATAATGCTATGCATAGCTCATTTAATGACCTATGGGCTCCTTCATAAACCCATAATGCAGCCAATGTTGGTTATTAAATCTTAGAAAAAACCATACTACAAATCATTACGTACACTATAAGAGCTAGGAAGTGAAGTATTTTAGCACCATCATCGAAATAAGATAGTTTTGCAATAACTTTATGTACAATAACATCTTATGTTTTAATTAAATAATTATAATGCTATTTCGTGCATATTATAAAATCTCAAATTTACTTCCCATTCAGTATTACATAATAGGGACGGTTAAATTTTCTGCTAGATTTGAACTATAGATATACAGCCCTTCCTTAGCAGGATAAAATTAGTACTTCTGCAATGTATTGTACAGCGTAGAAATAAATATATGCTACTAATTTATGGCGCAGACACAAATAAATAAACAAGAACAGCAATTAATCATCTAACTTACTAAATAATTCATTAATTATATAGGTATATGTCACAATTTCACTTCTGCGACAAGGTAACATACAGTAAAAGCCTATAAGTAGCTACTGACTTAAGCGCCCTTTTACTTAACGTTAAACACACACAGCAAAAGACTGTAAAGATGAAGCTTTTATTAGCAAAGATACATCTACAACTTTTTACCACCCTCTCAACTCAAATGTTCCCGTTTATATAGGAACCGTCTAATTTGTAAATAACAACAGTATTATTATTATACCCTACTAGGAGAATCATCTCGAACTAAGATGCTCCTTACATAGCTTTTCTATCAGTAAATATTTTGAATCTCTTACGCATACTTAATCTTAATCTAAGCTCGTAGGTTGTCTAATTTAACTATCATCAACTAGAACTTGAATCATCCTACTGCTATCTATCACACAATAACAATCAATATCAAATATGTAATGAACTATTACAAACAATATCTACGTTAAGGCATTACTTATCTTACCTAGCACTACAAATATGGATATTCTCCATACTAGCTACTACTGTACTTATTAAACTATCCTAATGACAAGGCAACACCGTAACAGTATACTACCTATATTACAAATATAAATTAGTTCTAAACAATTTTATGATACTGTAATACTAGACTACATTAAGAAGCTATGATCAAACTTGCAATAAATGCAATGAATGATTACGTACATCGTAGAAATGTTGCAATTTTTGTTATTCATTATATTGCCTGAGGCAACACTTTAAGCTATTGTCTCAATAAATAAGACTAAAATTAAATGACTTGAATGGATGATAGCAGTTATATAGTAGTAAAGTTAAAATGTAGCGAAATTTTTTTGATAAAACTATTTCTTATAACTTCACAGGAATAAATACTAATAAACGTAATTATTTTAATAGTAGAAGCTCTCTATTCGCACACTTTGACTTATGAGCCTATCTGCAATAATCTACAGTATTCTATCGACTGCTGAAGTTGTAGTATTATAGTAAAGCTACACATTAGATGCGAATTCATTATATAATTATCAATCCAGACTACGATCCTGGCTCACTTACGTTGCTAAACAAAATGTTGTTTGCTACTATAATTTGATTAGAAATTTTATATCTTTAGTGTTCTTGTTAGCTAGTCTACGTTGTTTTTATTCTTCCTCTCGCTAAAGTAGTTAATCTAGGAATTGGAGCGATGAAATTAGAGTAGCCGTTTAGCAATTGCAATCAATTTGACAATATTACTACTTATAGTAAGTTAGGATTATTTAACATTATCCTGTTTACTTAATTATTCGGGCAGAAAACTTGGAGATAACAATTAATGAATCAAAAATAACAATCCTATGTATGATTACTCATCATAATCTCGTCTCTGTGGTTTTATATTAGTTTTGACGAATTTTTTTTCTTTCGATGCCGCAAGGTATAAAATTTTATTCTACGAACACATTCATAGTCTATGGATACATATTTATTAACAATGCTCAAATGGTTGTCAATATCTATTCTTACTGACCAACATAGACTAATCTATTAAAATTATAATATATAATGATCAAAGAGATTCTATTTTGTAACCCAATGATGTTATCTAGTTACGATCTATTGAATAAGAAAACTTGCACCTAAAGATGTTAATAGATTAAACTATCACTTCCATCTAGTATTTTCATCAATAAACATTAATTTAATATTGCAATTTATTAGATTATTCTTTATCTTATCCACTTTTATTCCATATTATTTATGATTCATAAAGTCACATTAAAAGGAAATAATGCATAATGATTCTCTTGTTATACGCCCATGTCTATTGTTTAAATTTGATTTTCATCCTTATATAACTAATGATGATTTAATTTCGTCATGATGAGATACAGATATTAAAGAATTCACAGTACAATAAGAGCTTTAAGAAATTATTGTATGTAGATAGTTAAGATACTCTTTAGATCCTCCTATCCTTTCAATCTATTTTATACTGATTTGAGGTCTGTAATATCATTGAATGGCTCATTTTACAATAGAGAATGGGAATGTAATAACTAAGGAAATCATTTCGATGACGCCTGTAGGTCAGGTAGGTTAGTTCCTATTTTCTTTGATCTATTCCCTACCGCTTATATATCCCATTATCACGCCGTAAAGATATTAAATCATGTAGACGCGTAAAGCAACTATACAAAGATCAGACAGATAGCTTAGAAGATTGGAACACTTGTAGCAAATTTTGTTGCTTTAGTCGTTTTATTTTGCAGGATTGATAGGTTTGAATGGAATTATTGTCGTCAAACTACGATAATACGTCGATAGAATGTTGACCAATTTGTGAAATGAGTTTGAGATGCGATAGATAGATGGTCATTAAGCTAGATTCGACGTATTTCTAATTTAAACTCTGGATATAACAGAAATTTCCGAAAGAGATAACCAGACTTGCTTATGAACTACATATCCTTATATAAGAGCGATAAAGGGGATTCAATTTCTAGTTTAAACTATGACTGTTCATAATCACGAATAAATATATTAATAGTCTGAAGACGTAGAGATATCAATTGGGATAATATTCAATTATACTAAACACGAAACGATGGTTACAACTTGATTATAGGTCAACTTACGCTTTTAATTGAAAATAAATGCCGTTATCATGCAAATAATTTCATTGTGATACTTTCTTAAATATATATTCTATTACTAAGACAAATAATACCGTCAATTTTCTCTGCAATATAGTTAATCATCAATAATTTCTTAGGTATATTTCCAAAGTTTACTTAAATTTGAGTGCAGTTCAATTTAATTTGTCAATAACAATCAACTAATCCCAAATTAAAATTTAGATTACATGATATGTTAATCTTATTTGACTACCATTTATTAATTAGAGTGAAAGATGGCATCGGTTAGATGGTAATTAAATTCTGTATGTCTCAATCGCCATGGATAAATGTATAACTAACTTCTTAATATAAAGTTTGAATTTTATTATTGTGATTTCAATGCCCGTATTAAAACGCAATCTACCGTAAATTCAGATTCAGTCGCAAATCGAAGTTTAAATTAAATGTGCTAATCTCATTTGACTGCATTATATTAATTCTCGTAAATAATGGCATCGGTTAATCGGTAATCAAGTTCTGTAGACCGCAATCAGCATAGATAGTTATATAACTAACTTCTTAATGTAAAGTTTAAATTTTATTATTATTGGACTTTAATGCTCATATGAAAACGTAATCAACCATAAATTCAGATTCAATCATAAAATAAATCCTGCAAGAATAGAAACATCTTTTATTAACACTTGAAAAATTAAGTTATATCCTATAATCGTTAACGCTAACTTCTATGGTCTTGACTTTCTAAACTGCTAACAACCGTGAAGTTCAATCTAAATAAGTAACGAAATATCTTGTAAATTTAGTTACTTTTTAATTGTCATGATGGTGTTGAAATTGTTAGCCATATCTAAACCAATTTTTCTATCGTCTCTTTTAACTCGAACTCATTTTGCGATCAGCATAAATTATAGTTGTATAATATCAAAATCGAATTTGTTTACTTTATCATCTATTACAAAATAATTTTTATGGAATAACACGAGAAGGGTTTTGTTTATTGTCTGTATGAATAGTTTAAGAACAAAGAATGAGGATGATGTTAAAATGTCTCGAAATAAAGCTCAATTTGAAGCACCTCTTACTGTTCAGTTAAAACTACTATCTATAATATTTCTCTATTGGATCCAATTTAATTCTGTAATTAAGTTAAATCTTTAATTTAGTTTGCGTTCTTGCTACTATTAGAGAAATTTCTCTTGCTTTTTACGGCATTTATTTGAATTACTATTCGAACTTTAACACTATATTTGTTATCTTCTTAATTATTATTTCTTATTTTCTGATTAAGAAATTATTATCAAACCAGGTCTTTTCGTAGAATATTTCTAGCCTAGACCTTATCATTCGCGATGATAAAAAATTTACTAAAATAACAGACATTGCCGTGGCTGTGCAGGGAAATGCCACTTGTTT